GGGTCAGTGCATACATCGCCATATGCTGTTTGAAGGCTTCCCTATTCTTGAAGACCTCATCTGCGTGCTGGAAACCATCACCTAGAGGACACACAATCAGGTCATTTATATATTAGCAAAGGAGACTAAATGTTAGATTATAACAAGTTGGTAGTACTTACTATACTGTAAATGTTACCAATATATACATTATACAACCAAACCAAATGTTATCTTTATAACGTAATATTTTCTTTTATAACTCACCACCATACAAACTACTGTCTGAAGAGTCGTCATCGGTTTGCTCAGTGTCATCTTCATGCTTATTAGTTGCACTAACAGAGCTACGCCCCATTGTCAGCTGCAGAGATGGGTTGTCTCCGAGCTCATTCTCCATGACCTTCCCCTTTCCTTTATCAAATGGCTTTCGTTGCGAACATTGGGGATTACTGTTTGGGGTTTCAAACCCTCCTAGCTGTTCCTGCAAGTCTGTTAAATGTAAAAGTTGTTAGTGTACTCTTATTGCGAGATAACTTCTAAAAATGTTTCAGTTTTTTATAATATGACTATAACATACCTTCTTTACTTGGTGTGACCAAGTTTAATAGTCCAACGGCTGCTGTAAAGCTAGGAGTCCATGCCTCACTGTCCCCTTCTGTATCAACTGACATTGGTGCCACCGTACGTCCTATTTCAATCCCCCTATTTGGGGTTGAATCATTTAAAGATCTCATTTGAAATTGGCCACCAGCAGCCATTTTCTTTGCCCTCTCCATATGGTTTCTCTCTAAAACAGCTCTTTCCTCAGCAGTGAATATTTCTTCCAACACACTTTGGCTAGCCATGATGTATCGGCCTCCTTCAACTCCTTGCAAAAAAAACATAACATCATCAATACCACCAATTGAGTTATCTGGGTTCATTTTTGTTTGAAAGATATCAAACTTCTTACCACGATAACTGATTGATTGTACATCTAAACCATTCTGTGAAGGGACAAGTTGTTTAGAGCAACCTCCAACAGAGTAGTTATCATTTCTCTGTAGTTGATAGCGGTTGACATCATCATCGCCAGTTATCACACCGAGACCCATTGTCTCGTGCTCAAACCTCACCGCCATGAACGTTTCCACAAAGAAATTGTTAATCAGGTCCACTGGTGTTGTTAGCTTTCCATTTGGTTCAAGCATCCAGCTCGGGAATTAGAATGTTAACACTAGCTTGGTGTTGTCATCCAGATGATATGTGGCTCTTACTATTTCAACCAGCCTTTCGTAACTTTCATTTTTTTGCAACACGATCTCTTGAGCCATCTCGCCGGGGCGTGTTAGGAATCCCCATTCACCGGTTCCAGATTTTCCCATAGTCCACGCAACACTCTTACAAGCAACCCCATATCTGCGAGACCACAGAAACTTTGTTAGTTTTGAAAGACTTTATTAAATTTTCTTTACAACAAAATTTTTTTTTCCAAATCTTTATAACAGGAATAAGGTTTAAATTTGTGTACGAGGAAGCCATAAATGGCTTACGGTTAGTATAACATTTAATGTAGTATAACATTGAATCTACTGTCTTATATGGAAGAGAAGAGTCAACAAAAAACAATAAGAACTTTACCATTTACATCTATTAATTGTCTAACAAAACAGAGTACAAACAAAGTGTAAACAAGAGTAAAGACAAACAAAAGAAACAAACTAAAACTTTTTTCTCCCACACCTTTGTTTTTGTCGATAACAATTGTGGTTTGCACTGAAAAGATTTTAGTTTATTTATAGCAGGTAAAAAACCCTAATCACCTTTACTTACATAGTTAGATACACAACAAATCTTTTGGAGGGAAAATCTCCCTCTCGACTGCATTAAATGTCAACTTGGCTGAGAACTTATCACAGTGTCCCCTATAATCCTACATAATATCTCGCCTAATCTGCACAAAATCTCTACTCAATCTTCTTGTCTAATGTGCCACCATTTCCGTCATTTGCCTTGTAAGAGAAAACAACAAAAATTGTTTTTTCGTTCGTTTTGTCATACACCTCATTTCCTCTTTTTTTTTTTTAATGATTTCTAGCTAGTTGTCATATAGAAATATATAATTTCCATTTTAAGCCTCTATTATTCTAACCACCTTGTTAGAGATATCTTGGGCTGCAAAATACACAAATCTTCTAGATCTTTAAGCATTTTCTTAATAAGAGATAGCTTCTTCCTCAAGTCTTAGAATTATCCA